GTCCCATCACTTTTTAGTCACATTCACATCACTATAAGCATTCAGATCAGCATCGAAATTGCTTAATTATTCAGCGAAAGAAAAAAATTTAAAATAATGTTTTGTAAAGTTCAATGAAGTCGGGACTAACATTTCATTGATGATAAAGCTCTAATCATTGCTAGGTTTAAACTGTTCATGCTAATGTTTTTTTGTTCTCCACTACAATAACTCCATTCATTCTTCAAGGTACAGTTTTGTAATTTTGAAATTAAAAAACATGACTAAATATTTTTGACAAAGATGAATGACTTTATTGAACTTCTTAGTACATCAAATTTATGACCAGAAATGGTGTCTTGTCATTACTATGGTTACCACAAAATATCCCATTTATTATAATTTATTTATTAATGGAGAGGAAGCTATCCGGGAACTAAAACGGATAAGCAGCTGCGGTGGGTGTATACGTGACGTGTGACGTGCTACTTACACACTGCTTTGTATGTTGTCATTACACAGGTTATTGTACCTACATACAACAGTCTGATGGGGCGGAATACTTAACAGAAACTGTAATATACAAATCTAATTTGGATGCATTTTATGCTACATTTGCTGTTTGAGAAAAAAAAAAAAATGGCTAAGCATACATTTTTTCAAAGCTATTTTCTTCGTCGCTTAAATTGACTTTAACGTTATTCTGCATTTTCGTTGAATTCAATTCACAGTGGATGATTGCTACACGTTTCTTTTGAGGAGTTATTTACTAATCAATGGATCTATTGGCCTCAGATAATTCGGTTGAAAATAAACTCGTCTTTACGAGAACAGATTTTCACTAGGGCGAGTAGAAGTGGTTGGTTGACAAATGAACGTCTCTTCAGGAAAACCTTCTCCCAGCGGTTAATTTTACGCAATATTTTCAAGTGTGCTCCTTTAGTATAATTGCCTTTTATGTTTGTTTGATAATAACTCAGTTTTATACCATGTTTTAATCAACACCAGATGGCAGTCTTTTGGAGGAATAAAGTCGGCCATTTTGAAACTGAGAGTACATATTTTGCTGTGTTAAAAAATACGAAAAAGCACCAAATTTGTTAATATATTCATATTTTAAAGAAGAAGACAATTGTTTTTGACTTTTCAATATTTCTAATATTTCCAAGGCTCGGGAACATTGTTTATACCTAATTAATACCCTCAGGAATAGTGCCCTCTCTTGGCCTATAAATAAAGAACTTTCTTATAGTCTTCTTTTTTAAAGTTATCCAGTTTTTCCCATTATCCAGATCAGGAGTGTAATTCATCCTTTTTACAGATAAATAATTGATCTGTGTACATAAAAATTTCATGAAAATTCACAAGCAATAAATCATAAGAGTAGAATTTGACAGTAATTTATGGGTGGAATGGCTTACAAACACTTGGCATGTTCTGAATCAGCAATTAAGTATTGACTCAGATGCTGTAATCGTTGAGAGCTTGACACCCACAATCTCTACCCCTCACCTTTTCCAGTCTTTTTTTATCCAGATTTATTTAAAATACTATTAGGAATAGATCATTAAAAAAAAAACTGGGAAAAAAACTGTTCAAAATGTTTATTTCTACACATATTTCATGTTTTGTGCTAATTTGTTTTTTCCGTGATTAAAATGCTATTATTGCATGATTCAATTTAGGCATGTAGAGTTTTGTTTCTGTTATTGATTCCTCTGATCATGTGATTGCCCCCCCCCCCGCTGTTTCTAAGGGTCAAACTCTTATCATTAGAAATATTTTAGTCATTTATTTTGTTTTGTCACCATCCAAAAAATACCAGTCTTTTTTAAAAGCTGCTTTTTGAATTATTTGATAACCAGTATTGAACAAAATCCATTAACAATAAATGAAATCATGTATTTTTTATTTAAATCAAAATTAATGTTAACTTTGAAGAAAATTTGAAAACATTTAGACTGACTTTTGGCAGGAGTAAAATATCTGGCTGCAAGATCAAAAACAAAAACCACCTGGGTAGGTTGCCACCACCATTTTTGACTAAAATTTATATTTTTGAATGAAATTTGCATTCACAAAAACAATCTGCATGAAATTTTTAATATTTCTGTCAAAACTTGTTAGACTTTTATTCCTTTGGTCCAAATGATAGAAAATGTTGCAAAATACAGCAACAATATTTTAAGTATAAAATGATTCAACAGAAAATACGTTCAACTATTTGAAAGGTTGAGGTTCAAGTTTCAAATCAATAAAACTGTTTGATTTAAGACACTATTTCCCCTCCTCCTGAATAAATATTAAACTTGTATTGATCTTTTCAATAATGGTGAAAATTTGTACCGTTTATGTTCAAATTTTACATGAGTTGTATAAGTCGTATGGGACCCATACTAAACTCAACACAAAATGGTTAACAGTTTTTTTATGGTGAGAGAATTTCTTAATACTTTATTTTAGCTGGATTTAATTCTCGCTGAAAAGACTTTTTGTGTGGTTTTCATGGAATTTAATTTGACTGATTTTTGACGAGTTGAATGTAAAATATAGGAAAACAGGTATATTCGCTGGATTTTATGTTCACTGAACCACTCCTTCAGTGAAAATAATTCCAAGCAAAAATAAAGCATTCTACAGTAATATTGTTAAAACAGTGTGATAATAGTTTCCTCTTATATAAGTTCTCTCCCATAATGCATTGCACAGTAGAGGAAAACTTAAACTTAATTTTCTGTAGCTCACTTAAATATTGATTTAATTTTGAGATGAAAAGCCCTAAAGTTGTGTTGTTATTATTGAAAAGGTCATCATGTTTATTAAGTCTGATGTTTTTTTGTCATCAACAAAATCAAAATCCCCAAGATGTATGACCTATGCAATGCCAATTTCTGTTTTTTAACAGCGAAATCACAGCGTAAGACAGAAAGACGTAAGATTAGGATACATGTATGTTTCCCTATAGCTTTAATTACGAATGACGCTACAAAGCATCACGCCACGTAATCAATTATTCATGGGATTCAAACAAATAGAAAGTAAACACAGACGATGAAGTGACTGATTTGTGTCATAGCAACACTAGTGATGAATACTGCGGCTCTATAATGAACTTGCATTGAGCGGCACGCTGCGAACTCATCAACAATATGACGACGAATTAACTTGATTGTAATTTCCAAAAGCTGGCCATTCTCTTCTACATGTGTGGTGCAACTACGATGTGTTTTACGAGATGTTTAACGTTCTTATTTTTTACGATTTTACATCTTACTAAATCAGTACAACCAATGCCAGTTTTAAAATGGTTAGTTTACGTAACGTTTAGAATCATTTATGAACTGTGGGAAATAATTGTTATTGCTTTGCAAATAAACAGAAATATATACATGATTGATGGGTGGTGGTCACCGTGCCTTGCATGTGCGAGATTTGTGTGAATAAACGGTGATTTTCCTGCGTATATACTCGACCAGTGGCAAGCTGTAAGGTTTTGATCTGAAATACCGACTTTGA